CCCTTTTTCCCCCCAGAGATCCAGATGTGTCTGTCTTGGCTTCTCACTCAGCTTCCCCTGAAACGCTGGGATGAGCCGGTGAAACAGAGAAGTCCATTTCCTGATTCAAACCTGTGGCCCAAACTGTTGAGTGAGGGGCGGGTAGCACTTGGACACTGCAGCAGTCAATCACAGAACCACAGTAACAGGCATTCAGATCAACCAATCAGAAAAAGAGAACAAGATGAAGGCTCTTTTTGTAATCAGTTCCTTTTTTTATTTAAGTTTTCTAATTATAATTTGATGGATTTATTATGAAGATCATGACCCAATACAACAAACGTTAGTTTGTTGCAATACCAAGTTCGAACAGCAGATGGTAGCAGAGCGTATAGTACTGGAGTAGATGGCTGAACTGTGGCGCAGTGGGTTGGTAGATCTGTCTCCTCACAGGAAGTGGGTTCTGGGTTTTTTTTTCCGGCCTTGGGTGTAGTTTGCATGTCCTCCTTGTCAGGCATGGGCTCTCTCTGGGTACTCCCTAAGGAGAACATGGATAGCTCTCTCTAAACTGCCCTGAGGACTGTGCTGGTGAAGATTCTCAGTCATCCAGGTCAGAGTCATTCCAAAAAAAGTTAAAAATCAATCCACTGGACTTTGTTTCCAAGTTTGAAGACGTTTCTCTTCCATTCAGGAAGTTTTTTCAATTCAAAATGTCAGAAACAGCGTCGAGTTCCAGGTTTTATACAGCAGCCCAACAAAGCCTGGTTTTTATTTAGAAAACATGCAAATTGAACGGACGAATGGTCTGAAGGACAGGGTTTCCACAGGTCATTAAAAATCATTAAAAGTCATTCATTTATTATTCTTTAAATTAAGGCCTTTAATTGGCATTAAAATTCATTAAATCTGATTATTGTGGCATTTAAAATGCAAAAACGTTAATAAAAACTATTTCGACAGATATATTATATCACAATAGCCTAGTAAACTAGCCCCACCCACCAGCAGCCAAAATCCTTTTTACCTGCAGTGGTCTAGCCTCGATCGAGACCCCAGGGGCCTGTTTCAATAAGGAAGTTCAACCAACTCTGAGTTAAAACTTGAACTCTGAGTTGACTTATCCTGAGATTGGAAACTCTGAGTTTTGG